CTCTTTCTCTCATTCACCGCTCAACCTATCACGTCGCGAGAGACTTATCGCGCGTGATTCTATCGAACTGTTAGCCAATTGGCCGGCAAGGGTACACACCTCTTCCGGAGCTGCTCGGAGGCTATCGCGAGCAATTCGTTGCCACCGAGTTTAATCACTTCTTTATTACCGTCCAAGGTGCATACCTGTGAAGGTTATTGCACGCGAGCAACTTGTTGCGCAGCGGCATTCACACCAACTAGCACTGGGAATGCTCGATATCACGAGAGGGAAAGTCCTGTTTTCAGGGTTTCAATTGTCCTTTCAGAAAGGATCAACGATGCTATTCGAGGCCCGGGTAAAAAGTAGTCGAGTAGATTCACAAACTGAAATTGTTCGAGAGGCTGCACTAGATCGAACGGAAGCCACCGGCGATATCGCAGACTTATTCTCTCCGTCACCCTTCTGCATGTCCCTGTCTCGGAAAAACCATTAAGAAAGCAGTTCGTCGCGGGCTATGTTTATTCCCTCGTGTTAATAAATGAGCAGCGAAGGTTTAATCGTAGAACGTATGTAGTAAGCTCTCTCTTATTCATGGCTGTGTGGCTGAGTGCGAAGAATGAAAATCAGCATTATCATTGCCGAAAAAGTACGAAGGAATGGACGATTGTTGGGGTTGGAGGCGGGCTTGAAAGAGTAGGATGTCGTAAGTACGATCGGTAACACAACTTTACGTATGATAACTCCTACAAAGACGATATGACCTCTCGCACGCGCGTCCCTCCGAAAACCACGGTCCCGTTCGTCGTTCTCCTTCCTCTTGACTCGTTTTTTTTTTCTCGCGATGGAACACACGAGTAGAAGAAACAGAAGTAGAAGAAGAATAAGAGAGAAGAGGACCAGCGATAACGCGACCAGATACGCTGAAATAGCTCGTTAGAGGGAAAAACTGCGATTCAAGAGGCGGTCAATCGAATTTCTTGTTGCTTTCTTTCTGGGCAATCGCGATTCATCGAGATTTAAACGTGGAACAAACATTCGATCGTCCATTCACAGAGTAGGTACGATGTTGCGGTAAACGAACGAAGAAACGATGGAACGAATCAGAGCTGGCTCGCAAAAGCGGAGGTGACTTCATACGTAGATTGAAGAAGAGCGCGGTGGTAATTAATGATCGATCGGCCGAAGGAAACGCGGGAACGATAGAGAGAGGTCAGAACGACGATACCACGTCGTCGTACAAAGTGTAGTTCCGCGGACAAACGATAACATGGCTCCACTTCAATGAGATTTTCCACGGCTAGCAAGGGAACGGAGTGGGGACTCGAGAAAGCTAGATACCGTTTTATTTCCCCCTTCTTTCCCTTTTTTCGCTTATTCTTCCCTCCAACCCTCGTCTGAAAAGGAAAATAGAATATGATCCAACAGAATTTTCACGCGTACCCTCACCTTGAACACATTGCACGCGGTCAAGCACATACAGTTCCAATTGGAGGCTGTCCAATATAAATTTCTGCCCTTATATATATTTGAAAGCGATAATCGAAGCCGCGAAGTACGATAAAAACGTCGTATTATCGCGTACAACTCGATAAGAACGCGTTAACATATGTACAGCTAAGCAAAAATCAGAGATGACTTCATGCAAATCGTCCTGAACGTGATCTCACAGAAATTCACGCGAGCACGATTTCTCGTTCGACGAGGATCATTCGTCGATCGTGATAACGAGTGCGTCTAGACGATAAATTAGTGTTTGTAAATTGTGCTTCTCGATCCACCGAAATCTTTCAACATTTTTCTCACCAGAGATCATCGAAACCGTTTCTCGACGGGGATCAGAGATGAAGGAAATTCTAGGAAAGCGTTCCCATTCCCCTACCTCCCTTGTCCGAGAAAACGACGTACACGCGGATGCAGGGCTGATAGATCCTCATCATCGTCAAAAATAGATTAACCACGCGATTTCGATGCGTAGATCGCTAATTTTCACCCACGTGTAACATCGAAACGCGCACAATGTGGCCATTCTTTAATCTGCTCCGCGACGTTCCCCGAACACTGACTTCACAACCTGTTAAAATTGGACCACGGTGTTTACCCGTGGATTCCAGGCCAAATAGCGATAGCGATTCACCAAATTAGACGGCGTGTACGTCACGGTAAGTAAAGAAAACCGCGTGACAGCACAGAAATGAGGTATGTGTACAGGAAATTCGCGACATGCCTCGAAACATCTTACCCTTTCCCATCATTTATCATTTCATTTGAAACATGTACACGTGCAAATTTTTCTAAACACGTTCGTTAGTTTACAGCCGAGGGAACTGTATCCCTAGCTACATCTCACGGTCGTCTTTACCTCTACTCTCGACAAAAGGGAAAAAAGAAGAAAAAGAAGAAGAATAATAAGAAAAGACGATACCCGATTGACTGATTCCTATCTAGCATATACTAGGTATACGAGACTACGTTTCGACGAGGCATATCGTAAAAGACGTCGACTTGGAGAGTGCGGGGTCAATCGTTTGCCGGTCGCGGAGGCGGCACCGTCGTCATCGTCGTCGTCGTCGTCGTCGTCGTCGTCGTCTCCCCCGAGTTTGACAAGGCTTGTTGCACAACCAGTATCGTCAGTTTTTTAAACACGTTCACATGCTGACTGATTCACTTTTGTTCTTTTCTGCTTCCTCCAACCTATCGATACTTTCGTTCTCCATTGCGAAAAAGATTACGTCATTGGACGCACTGCAAGGGTCACCGGTGGCTCAATGAAATCAACTTGTCGTCCTCGTCTCCCCCGAGTTTGACAAGGCTTGTTGCACAACCAGTATCGTCAGTTTTTTAAACACGTTCACATGCTGACTGATTCACTTTTGTTCTTTTCTGCTTCCTCCAACCTATCGATACTTTCGTTCTCCATTGCGAAAAAGATTACGTCATTGGACGCACTGCAAGGGTCACCGGTGGCTCAATGAAATCAACTTGTCATTTCTAAGCAGTCATCTCTCAAATGATTTATCTAATATCGAGTTGATAACTTGTGTATATTTATATGGTAAACGATGTTCGAGTAAATATCCTTGTTTTCAGCAGCGTGGTGTATATGTACACATACACGAATGGAAAGAGGAGTACGATAAAAGAAACGAAGATGCGTCCATTGAAACGAGAGATTATCTTACTAGATCGAGTGTAAGCACGTTTCGAAAGAATTTGCGAGAACAGTTTCAATTTCGTTGACCCTCTAGAAATCTAAAGGCGAGGTTCGCCTCGATGTCTTATCGATAGACATTGATTACTCGCAAGCCAATCGACCGCTCCTCCGGCAATTTTTAGGCTGGACCAACGGTCACCGGTTAATTTTAATGATAATTTGAGCGCGATAGGCGCGAGGTTTTTTTCGTGCGTGAGACGATAAAAAGAAACTGAAGGGGTCACAGAGAGGAATCGCTTATCGAGGCAGTCACGTCACGCCGTTCTCGGTGTGCGACGACACATCAGAATTGATCTGTGCGAATTTTTCGCGAATTCTCTTTAACAAACCGAAAGCGAATTCGCGAAACCTTGAACGATTCGAATGACGATGAATGTTAATAAACCAGAAATGAGAAAAGAGAGAAATGGGCACGCAGGAGAAGCGAACCGCGGGCGTCGTCCATCGAAAGAAAGAGAGAGAACAAATGAGGGAAGAGGAGAGGAGGAAGAGAAGAGGAGGAGGAGGAGGTCGCAAATTAAGAGAGCGAGGAGGCGGGCAAGTCTAGCGCGCGATAACGAGGGAATATCTGCGAGGGGGAGGGCAGAAGCGTATGGAAAAAGAGGGAAAGAATGGATGAGCGTCTGGAGCCAAGCTGGCTGCACGAGAAGGGGCTCGGCATCCCGTTTACAAACCGATGCTTCATTAGGTGGGGACAGCTAAGCTTATAAGACACGACATTACAGCCTTCGGGACCAATAGTCGCAAAACGGTGAATGTGTGTGGTGTATATCAGAGGCATTTTGCAAGAAGACGCTTCACGAGACAACACGCAACACTTTTCATCGATCAGACAACCCGTTAACCGATCCCACTTCGTACGTGAATACCGAAGAATCACGATTTATTCTTCCTTCGAATAGAAACGAGAACAGAGATAGAGCGCAGTGACAGTGATCTATTTCCCAGCGATTAAGTGTGATAAATTTGGGTGTTGGAAGTCACGAAACAGCTGACCGAACCTTGGCATAAGTATCGAGTAAACGCTGATCAAGACACGAGGAAGATTCGGAGAGAGCGCCGAAGGAACTTTCCCCGTGACTCCGAGTAACCGGCTGAATTTTCTAGAACAAGAAGGATCAGATCATCAGTAGGAAAGCTTTCAATCATAGTAAGTATGAAGATTATCATCTTCGTGTGTTGTAACTTTAGAAATAGACAGGTGAGATTGAGTCGACGATTGAGAGAGGGGGGAGAGAGAGGACACACCAGGTTGAGCTCGGCGAACCGATCTTCTCTGGAAGCGGAAAATTTCCCACCGATAGAGTGCCGGAGAACACTGGGTCAAGTGCATGATGCGGGGAAGAAATCAACGAACCGCAATTTGTGTCGTGTCAGAAGTTAACTCGCCACCGTTTCTGCAAAAACAATTTTGCGCGTCGGATCACGGTCGATTAGCTGGAAATCGAAGCGAATTGAATGAAAAGGTTGAAGCGTCGTCCACTTTGTGCTCATAGAGAGATTAACTTCTTTCTCATTATTTCTAGAAATGTCTCCGTCCGTCAAGTATATCGTACAGAGTGTGTGCGTGCGTACGTGTGTGTTAGCTTTTAATGACGTTGAAACAATTAAATGAGAAAGAATGCGTCGGAAAGTGAATTTTTCAATTAAAGTTGGACGGTCACCGAGTCGTTACCGAGGCGCACCACGATTTGGGTTTTGTTGCTCGGGGAGTCAGATAACCCCGTAAAAATCTTCCACTTACGAGCACGCAGCGGTGGAAATCTGCACGGTCGATTGATTAATGGTCTCCTTGTATCCGATTCCGGTATCGTATTTATTCGACCTCAACAAAAAGATGTAGAGGCCAGAAAGAAATAGAAAGCGATCGGGTGAGAGAGAGAGAGAGAGAGTAAACTAGAGGAAGGGATCATGCAAAAGGGGCTGGAAGATGCGAATATATTTACACGCTTCGTCCATTTCCCCACGTTTTCTCTTTCACCAATCTTCTCTCATATTTTTCTCTGAAAGGACACGACGTTACGTCGATTGGCGATTGGTGAATCGCTAGTTTTCTCTTATCATGGTCACCAAAACATCGATAATCTTTGAAGTTATCTCAGTGGATGATGCGTGTAAACGAACTCGATTAAGTCACAGATTGTTTGTTTTCATTCATATCGCGTCACTGCGAAATTCGGTTCGATCGCGTCGGGATTCCCTCTCCATAGTTCTTTCTTGAAAAGCAAGCCTGTTCGCCAATTGAGATTCGATCGACGAACAGAGCTTGCTGGGACACATGCCGACTGCTAATTTACGGAGGCAATGGCGCGAGAACAGCGCGGCCGTAGAAACCTTGACCCCTTGAAAACGTTACGAAATTCGGTCGTGTCTTGGCGTATATAGGCGGCTCGATTCATTAATGGCCAACAGAACTGCGATGAGGCGTAGTTTGATCGATCAGAAATTTTGAGGATCGATTCGCAGAGGAAACTCACCCCCTTTCGATCCTCTTGTCAGCATCTTCTTCACTATGGCTGTTTTGTCGGTATAAGCGTTCACCTTGGCCACGTGGTTGCAGAGTCGCTGAAATTCTTCGAACGTATCGTCTTCCGTTTCTTCTCTCTTGTTTCCATCAGTCTTTGATTCTGAGCCATCCGTATCTCCGATATCATCATCATCATTCGAAGACGTAGACTTGTTCTTTTTCAATCTCTTCGGTTTCTTATTAACTGTCGGTTGGGATTGCTTAGCAGGAGTCACTTTGCGTTTCTTCGAGCTTGTTGTAAACTCATTCGTAGCTGCCTTAGTTTTTGGAATCTTGAAGGGAGCTGGAAGGAAAAATGGCAGTGTTATAGTTTTATTGTACGTAGGTAGTTCGTGTAATGTAAGGCGATCGACGCGGGATCAGAATCTGAGTATTAGCTTGCAAGTGGTGCTCGGTAGTCGAAATCCTCCTCGAACTGGAGAACTGTGCAATTTGTCGGAGAATACTGATCCATAAAAGCTACACGCGCTCGATTCGATGATCTTCTACGGCCCGTATAGTAATAATCGGCGGAACGAGCAACCAGTTTAATGCAACGTAAATCATCGACCGACCGATCGCTCTCTAATAGGCGATAATGCTCGAAAGATGATTTATGGGATACAATTTGTATAGCCCCGATTTAATTGAACGGTAATTAAAACGCTCGCCTCTGCTGCGTCGCGGGCAGATAAGCAGCATGCCGCGATGAACGCGGTCTTTTCACGCGAGATGGAAATTTCTCGAATTTATTAGCCTGTCCAGTCCGTTTAACGTTGTAAGGTCGTAACTGAAATCCTACGCCTCGATCGTATAAGAACATTGGAAATTTGAAAAAAGTTTCGCTGAAAACATGTAAAGAAGTATCGAGAGATTGAACTATAGAATTGCTAACTCGGAGATGTGGCATCGTTCTCCAGCGTCGAGATCACCACGATCACCAGACAGTGATCGTCTGAAGAAAAATGCTGTGAAATCTTACAGGTATTTTCAAACTCATCGATTCTCTGAAGAATTATCCGCTTATCCTCGTCACAGAGATTCTCCCAGCCGCTGATATCTTTTTCCGGATCGTCTATCTTCTTGCTGGAGGCCCTTTGTTTGGCGAACACCTCGAACAAACAGCTCATATGATGCCACGCCTTCATCTTGCCGTCGGAGAACGGATTCGCGACCAGCTTTGCAATCCTCACGGTGTCCTTTTGTATGGGACACTTGCACTTCTTACATTTCGCGCGGCCAGTCTTTGCCTGCTCCACCGCGAACGGCTTCTCATCTTCCTTCTCGTCGTCTGACATTGCCTGAAAAGTTCCAACGAATTCAACGGGAACGTTCGAGTAATCTGAAACCCTGTGAGAAGAATAAACGTTTAGCTTTCTTCGTCCCTTTAGAATTGAGAGAAAACAACTAAAGTTGGATCACGTCGAAGCTACTTCTTCGAGCCTTAATCCTGATCCTTAACAGTTTGCCAGGGTCGTCGGATATTTCGTATTCATCCAAAATTGGAGATTTCATTTTTAAGAATTAGGAATGACCATGTGTATATACGAATAGAATAGATAGTTTCGTGAGCCTTTCAAAGAGTGAATAGTCTGAATATTATTCAGTATATAATGTAATAAAAATTGGGGCTTGTGAGTCTAATTCATACGAAAGACAATCGATCAAAATTTCCAACGGGGGGAAGAAACGCAAAGAATTCTTGATCTTATGCGAACTACTACGTGTATCCCAATGTCTGACATTTATTGGCCGTTTGCATCCACGATAATGTAGAACGAGGAATTCGTGCTGATATCAATCCTGTATTATTCCACTTGTGCAACGAGAACAACATTCATATGAAAGATAATTCTCGAACTGCGCCTGGCCAATTATCGTAATCGCGATTATCGTCGTAATATTGTTCTATCGAGACCTTCCACCGAATTGCGTCATTCTTTCCAACTTGGAATTCTGCTCCTCTTCGAGGCACTCTTCGGTCCTAAAAATATCCAACGAGGCACGGTGCTTCTCGTTATATTCGCAGCATTTCAAATTTTTTACATTGGTCAGAAATAAGCATTACCCGCTCGAGGATTCGCGTCAGATTATTACGAAGTGAATGAATGAAAAAAGAATTAGTTATCTATTCATCTATAATTATCATGGCTTGATTAAAATGAATATAAATATGTATTTATACATATATTTGGAAACAAGGACGCCACGAAGGATGGTGTTTCCGCGAGGGAAAAACGTAAAAATTGAAGGCTTCTCTGGTCCGCCATTTTGCCGGGCGTGCGATTTACCGAGAGATACGAAAAAAAGACAATCGTGGCGATAAGAGGAGGCCGTTAATTGAGCGAGCGCGATAAGCAGCGAGGGGCTGTTATTGTCAACGCGCCGATTGGTCAACATCAACCACGACATATCGAAATAAGGACAAATAGCGACGAAAGATTCTCTCTCTCTCTCTCTCTCTCTCTCTCTCTCTTTCCTCTCCTCTCCTCTCCTCTCCTCTTACCCCCTCTCTCCCGCAGTATAAGAACATTTTCCTCTCGGCCCGAATTGTCTTTCCTAAAACCGCTCTCCCTTTGCATATATACATATGTAAAAATAAACTGCGACAGAGACAAACTGCGAGGTTCACTATCGATGGCCCATCGTAGAAGGTGACCTAAAGCTTTGTCTTTTCGATTTTCACTAGTCTGAATTCGTTTTGCCACGTTGGTCTGATCATTGTCTTCCCTATACTACTTGTACGTTCCGTCCTCCAGAATAACTGTTATTAGGAAAAATTTCTTTTGCTTGTTTTATCATAAACAGTATTAACTTTCCAATGTTGCGTAAATAGACCGAGAGGAATACTTAAGGGACTACATACACCTATGAGGTGAAAAAGTAGGATGGATTTGAAGAATTTTTTTTTCGGTGAAAAAATATTTTTATTATGAAAACATTAGATGCATTGGAAAGGGCATACTTTTGTCTATAAAGTTCCTTAGTTTTCATTAAAAAATTCAAAGAAAGAGCGGCGTGATAGCTGGTCTTCGTAGGACGATTTTTCAAAAACGGCGTCGGCGGTAACCGTCGCTATTTTTTATTTACAACAAAAAAGGAAAAATTATTCTTAAAGTAAACAAAAAAAAAACTGGTACTTGCCGTAGTCGATTTTTGTTCTTTCAATTTTTCGCAAAATGACGAGCATTTGAATACAGAAATAGAATATATGACTGAAAATGTGAACTTCGTTAATTTCTAAAAAATAAACTATGATGGTTAAAAAAACAATCTTACGACAAAGACTAGATAATTATATTAAGAACCCTTGTGCCGAATTTAAAGTAAATCGGTTCGTTAGTTTTTGAGATACAATGGTTACCGTTTTTAAAAACACCATTCTGAGAAAAACGCGTTTATAGCCTCAAGCATAAGTAAAGTTGATAGAAATTTTCTTTCTCATACTTATATTAAATCATCAATTCCTGGACTATAAAATTCATCTTTTCTCAATGTTGTAGCCTCCATTTACTTTTTTTTTAATTTATTCTCACATTCAAATTATTACATCACCATACAATTTTTACAAGTATAGCAATGATCTGCACGCAAAGGGTCGCAAGGGTCCACTCGACTTGCGGGCTTCCACAGGTTGTAATTTC